TTAAGTCCAGGTGGGGGCTGGATATTGACTGACCGGGAGGGCCACACGGGAACCTTCTGGAGGGCTGGAAACATTTACGTCTTGTTCTGGGTGGTGGCCGTCTGGGTACCTACTCACGGAGAAACTCATCGAGCCGTGCGCTTGGGACGAGGGCCATGTAGTCACTCTCCTGTACATATGTCACACTTCAGAATATTTTTCTTTATCACAAGAGGTGAGAGATGAGAAGTAGGTGGTAAGATGGAAGGAGAGGCAGGGGTGAGGGGGGGCAAATGAAGGGAACGCAGCGCTTCCTGCACCGGGACTCCCGCACTCCTCCCCGAGGCCCTGCGAGGAGGCTGTCACCCCCACTCCCCAGCTCAGGCACTGGCTCCGAAGGCTGCCTGCCTGGCCCAAGGTCACACGGCAAGCGGCAGAGCCAGGCTCCGACTCTGATGGCAGAGCCCGGGCCTCCCGCTCCACCGCTCCTCCTTTGCATAAGTTATTTATGGAATTCAGACTCTGCAAGACTAGATAAACGCGGAGGTCTCCTCCGGCTCTGAGGTCCTGCTTGTCTGCGATTAAATGAGAGGTGGGAGTGAGGGGCCGGGCTCCCCTCCCAGGAGGAGCAGGAGGCCAGGTGCGCAGATGGAGGGCTGGCCTCCCTCCCTCTGCACCCCTCCCACCCCGCGCTTATCTGCCGGTGAGGAGGCCGGAGTTTATCACCGCTACACTCAATTACGCTGCCCATCTGTCTCCGCAGCTCAGGGGGACCTGACGCTGAAGCAGCGAAGGCCAGGCCACCAGATCACCACCGCCGCTGCTCCTTCCGGACCCTTGGCTCCAGCTCTGGAGGCTGGGTGGAGGCCGCGCCGGAGGGAAGGGGAGAGAGGGGAGGGCGGGGCGAGAGTCCACGTCCACCGACCTCCCGGGGGAGCCCCCTGTCATGTAGGAGCAGCCGGACGACGCAGCCGCAGACACAGCTTCTCCCAAAGTCTTCATTAGTTGCTCTGCCAAGGGCCCGAGTTTAACAGGAAATGTAAGGGACCAGTGCCACCCTGGAGTGGATGGCCCTGCTTCCCTGACTGTGGCCCCAGAGCTTTCAGTCTCCTGTCACTGCAGGCCAAGGCTAGCAGGCAGCCCCCGGCCCCCAATCAGAGGGCAGGCCGAGGTCCACGTGCAGCCCGCTGGCTCTGTTTGTCCGTTTGCGGTGCCGGCCCAGCCACACTCACACAGGAGCAATGTCTTCCCTCTGCTGTCCCCCAAGTCGGGGGCGGGGGGTCGCTCTAGCCCCGAATCAAGGAATGGTGTGTGCGGGGCCCATCAGGTGGCTGTAGGGGCGGAGGAGCTGAGGACCCAGGTCATCTCTGAAGGCACACGGGGCCAGCCCCGTGCTCTGCTCCCGTAAGGCCGGCCTGGATCCACCAGGCGGCAAGCTTTGGCTGGGCTGGTGGCCCAGGTTGTGGAGTCCGAGGCCTAGGTTTGAATCCCAACCCCGCCACGTGGACGTTTGCTCAACCTCTGACGAGTCATGTGACCCGTCGGAGCCTCAGTTGCTTCCCTTGCAGGATGAGACTACAAAATCCCTCCTCTGCCCACGCGCGGGCTTGATGGGGCGGGGGGAGGGGCTCCCCACTGGCGTCCATCTACAAGGCCCCTCCGCGTGCTCGGCCCTGCGCCTGGTGCCGTGGGGGCACAGAAAGCGTGTGCGGCATGGCCCCCGCCACGAGGAGCTCGAAATCCAGGTGGGGAAAATGTCCACGCAGTCGTGTGAACTCCTGCTCACCCCGGAGATCACAGATAGAAGACAATTAGCTTTCTCCGCAGCTCCCGGCAGAAACTGCTAATCAGCCTGCACGGGTAGGCAGGTGCAAGACAGCCTGAGACGGCGATGGCAGGTGAGTGGGCAGCTCTGCCTTCCTCCCTGGAAGGGGCTGTGCGCTCAGCCGCGAGGGGGAGGATTCGTCTGGGCCTTTGCCAAGCCTTGGGATCAGAGGTGCGGCCGAACGTGAGTCATTGAGCCACCGCCTCCCTCTGGGCGCCGAACACCCGCCCTGGGCTCCTGGCGGGGGAGCAGGTGCCCTGCCTCACCCATCCAGCCAGAGGGGCTGCTGCGTGGGGTGGAGGAAAAGGTTTTGAATTCAGTCTTAAGTGGTTCCTTCATCCCCGCCACGCAGCAGAGCCTCCGCAGAACGGAGGCGTTAGAGCCAAGGTGGTGGAGGAGAGACCCCTGCGGCTCAGATCGTGTCTGAAGGCCAAGGGGGAGGCCCGGCCCGGCCTGGCGGGAGACGCCTCTCCACTCACTGCAGGCTTCTCTGCCCTTCGGGACTGTCCTGCGCTCTTCTAATCACTTTGCAGTTTTCAGCCCTGCCGGAGTGGAGGAGGTTAATGTCGTGACGTGTTATCTATTTCTGTTCCTCGCTCCTCCATGCCACCCGGAGGCAACGCTGGGCCACGGTGGGCAAGCCCAGTAGGGGCTTGTGGAGGACCTGGACGCACTTTCTGTTCCCCCTGAGAAGTCCTACCGCTGCAGAGCCTCCCAGCCCTGGGGGAGGACCGGAGCCGGGAGGCAACTGACATTTATTGAGCTCTTTCTGGGCGCGCCCCACTCGGCTCCCTTAATCCTAACGGCAACCTCATGTTAGACGGAAGGAACAGAGGCTCTGAGAAGCCGATCCGTTTTCCCAGCGTGCTCTGGCGGGAGGTGGGAAGTCAGAGTAGGATCTCTTCGCCTGTGGGCTCTGCTCTCTCTCGTGCCGGGTCGAGGCAGGAGGCAAGGGCCTCTGGGATGTGTACGTGTGACAGGCCCACCGGCCTAGGTCCCGTTCGGTGACAGGGCCGTCCTGGGACTCAGCCCGTTCCTGCCTCCTCTCCACCCACACAGTACACCGCAGAGTCCCCTGCCCTCTTCCTGCCCACCAGTCACTAGCTTGGGCGGCCAGGTTCCCTGGGCTCCCGCTGCACGCGTATGCGGGCGTGCGTGCGTGTGCGCACGTGTGTTTGTTTGCTCTGAGTTTTACGTGTCAGTGCACACACACCCCCACGCAAAACCTCTGTGCATTTTAAGTCACGGTTGTTTTCCCACCTTCAGAAATAGCTGCAGAGGAAGGTGGGAGGTAGTCGAATGTAAACAGGCATACCACTCTCCTGCTCAGGGGAGGGACGGCGCCTCCAGCCGCTCCCCTCCCCAGCATCCTGGAAGCAGGGGGAGGTGGGCGAAGAGCCCCTCTGGCCAGGTGAGCGGCACCTGCCTGGAAGGTGGTAGAACGCATCGTCCCGGGACACGAGAATGGGCACCCGGCCCGCGGCCGGACCTGAGGACAAAGAAACGTGATGTAAATGGCACAACCCCAGAACTTGGGTGGATTCCCGTCTCCTGCCGCCTACCAGCTACGTGTCTTCAGCGAAGTTCTTTAACCTCTAAGAACCTCAATTTTTTCACGCGCAAACTGGGGGTATTATATTAATGCTTATCTTGTCGGCTCGTTTTGACGGTTAAGTGAAATAAGATACTCAGAGTCTGTGGAGTCCTGGCAAATCTCAGGTGACGAGTAAGTGTTGGTGTGCTTCCCTCATAACCCGCGGTTGAAAAACTACCCAGATCGGACTTCTACTCGTGAGGGGACCGGGCCCAGGAAGGCCCCCTGGTTTTTCCCCCATGTTCGTTGTAAACCAAGGCTGGATTTGCCTCCAGGGTGATTCAGCCTGGCCTTGGGGTCTGTGGGAGCCTGGATTACCCATACCTAGGAGGTGGGAAACAGTGGCTTAGATTCTAGGCTGTGGGGTGGGGGGCGGGGTGAGCGACCTCTTGGGGGAAGGGGCTCTGGGGCCACAGAGATTGATTCGTAGAGTACACATCCACTGGGCACCTGCTGTGTGCTCTACGCCCAATGATGACCAAGACAGGTCCCCAGCTGGGGAGACATTTCCATGTGGTGTGGTCCAGGCTATGACAGAAGGGAGCATGGGACACTGTTAAGAGCGTAAGGTGGGCCCCTTAGCCAGCCGGGAGTTGGGGAGGGGGATGGGAGAAGCTTCTGTAGGAGGTGACTGACCTTAAGTAGAGGCTTGGAGAACCACTAGGACTTGTCTAGGAGGCCATGAGGAGACACGAGAAGGGGGGCACGTCAGGCTAACTTCAACTCAAAAGTGTTGCTGTGCATAGTTGGTAAGTGGGAGGCAGGAGGCAAGGGCCTCTGGGATGTATACGTGTGACAGGACGTCATAGGAGAGGCGAACAGCAAGAGAAGCCAGGAGATCGGCCAGGGACAGGTCCTGTAAGGTCTTACCTGCAGGGCTGAGGAGCTCAGACCCAGGGTTCCTAACCCCACCACCTTCCTCCAGGGAGCTCAGTCAGTCTGTCGGCAGGTCCTGCCTCCGGGAGGGAAAGTTGGCAAAAACCAAAGCCATACACTAGGAGAGCCTATGCCGACCCCAGGCTGGAGCACCAACTTCCCCAGCCTGTCTGGGTATAGGGTCAGGGACCATTGCCTTTCTACTTCCAGAGTCCTGAGAGCCCACCCTGGAATTTCGAATCTGTACTATTTCCACAACCACCGCCGTCCCCTACACACACACACACACACACACACACACACACACACACACTGCTCAGAGGGATGCCTGGAAACTTTACCCAGTGAGCCAAAGAGGGCAGGGGAGATGTGAGAAGGTAAGAGAATCTACTCCACATCTCTCCGCTCAGAAGGACTGTGGAGATGACGGTCATTCTAGCATCTCCTCTCCTCCACAGACGTGCACGTACACCCCTTCCCGAGTTCTCCCGGAAGCTTCCCAGTTCAATCTCTCCCCCCTTCCCTGAAGACTCACAGTTGCTCCCTCCCCCAGCGGATGGTAGAAAAGGACACCCAAGCCTCAGGGCTGTAGGACGGAACCCAGGAGCCCTGGCTGTCCCCGTCTCTCCGTTCCTTTGCCCTCTGGAGTCAAGCAGGGGTGACACGGGAGGAGGGAGTAGATTCTGCTTCTCTGCCACCTCCTGACTGTGCATCCTTTTCTTCCAGGGCTGCCCCGATGGGGCGTGGCAAGGAATGAGCAGGCCCCGCCCCAGCGGACAAGGATGGAGAGCCGTACCCAGGAGGGCAAGAAGCGATGCCCACCCATCCCCACGTAGAATGACCGTCCCCGGAGGGCGGTTCCCCAGGCCCTGGCAAGGCTGCTGACCCTCGGCCTGCGAACCGCTAAGAGTAGGACTCCAGACTCTCCTGGCGGATGGTTCCCTACCCTACGGCTCCATCATGAGGCTCCTCGTGGCCCCCCTTTTGCTGGCGTGGGTGGCCGGTGCCGCCGCCGCCGTGCCCGTGGTACCCTGGCGTGTGCCCTGCCCCCCTCAGTGCGCCTGCCAGATCCGGCCCTGGTATACGCCCCGGTCATCCTACCGTGAGGCCACCACCGTGGACTGCAATGACCTGTTCCTGACGGCGGTGCCCCCCGGGCTGCCCGCGGGCACGCAGACCTTACTGCTGCAGAGCAACAGCATCGTCCGCGTGGACCAGAGTGAGCTCAACTACCTGGCCAACCTCACAGAGCTGGACCTGTCCCAGAACAGCTTTTCGGACGCTCGGGACTGTGATTTGCGCGCCCTGCCCCAGCTGCTGAGCCTGCACCTGGAGGAGAACCAGCTGAGCCGGCTGGAGGACCACAGCTTTGCGGGGCTCGCCAGCCTGCAGGAGCTCTATCTCAACCACAACCAGCTCTACCGCATCGCCCCCAGGGCCTTTGCCGGCCTCGGCAACCTGCTGAGGCTGCACCTCAACTCCAACCTGCTGAGGGCCGTTGACGGCCGCTGGTTTGAGATGCTGCCCAACCTGGAGATCCTCATGATTGGCGGCAACAAGGTAGACGCCATCCTGGACATGAACTTCCGGCCCCTGGCCAACCTGCGCAGCCTGGTGCTGGCAGGCATGAACCTTCGGGAGATCTCCGACTACGCCCTGGAGGGGCTGCAAAGCCTGGAGAGCCTCTCCTTCTATGACAACCAGCTGGCCCAGGTGCCCAGGCGGGCCTTGGAGCAGGTGCCCGGGCTCAAGTTCTTAGACCTGAACAAGAACCCGCTCCAGCGGGTGGGGCCTGGGGACTTTGCCAACATGCTGCACCTCAAGGAGCTGGGTCTCAACAACATGGAGGAGCTGGTTTCCATCGACAAGTTCGCCCTGGTCAACCTCCCCGAGCTGACCAAGCTGGACATCACCAACAACCCCCGGCTGTCCTTCATCCACCCCCGCGCCTTCCACCACCTGCCCCAGATGGAGACCCTCATGCTCAACAACAACGCTCTCAGTGCCTTGCACCAGCAGACGGTGGAGTCCCTGCCCAACCTGCAGGAGGTGGGTCTCCATGGCAACCCCATCCGCTGCGATTGCGTCATCCGCTGGGCCAACGCCACGGGCACCCGCGTCCGCTTCATCGAGCCGCAGTCCACCCTGTGCGCCGAGCCGCCCGACCTCCAGCGCCGCCCAGTCCGCGAGGTGCCCTTCCGGGAGATGACGGACCACTGCCTGCCCCTCATCTCCCCCCGCAGCTTCCCCCCCAGCCTCCAGGTGGCCAGCGGAGAGAGCCTGGTGCTACACTGCCGGGCACTGGCTGAACCGGAACCCGAGATCTACTGGGTCACGCCAGCCGGGGTTCGACTGACGCCTGCCCGTGCCGGCAGGAAGTACCGGGTGTACCCCGAGGGGACCCTGGAGCTGCGGAGGGTGACGGCAGAAGAGACAGGCCTGTACACCTGTGTGGCCCAGAACCTGGTGGGGGCTGACAGTAAGACGGTTAACGTGGTCGTCGGCCGGGCCCCCCCACAGCCGGGCCAGGACAAGGGATGGGGGCTGGAGCTCCGGGTGCAGGAGGCCCACCCTTACCACATCCTGCTGTCTTGGGTCCCCCCACCCAACACAGTCTCTACCAACCTCACCTGGTCCAGCGCCTCCTCCCCCCGGGGCCAGGGGGCCCCTGCTCTGGCCCGCCTGCCGAGGGGAACCCACAGCTACAACATCACCCGCCTCCTTCAGGCCACGGAGTACTGGGCCTGCCTGCAAGTGGCCTTTGCCGATGCCCACACCCAGCTGGCATGTGTATGGACCAGGACTAAAGAGGCCGCTCCTTGCCGCAGAGCCTTAGGGGACCGACCAGGGCTCATAGCCATCCTGGCTCTGGCTGTCCTCCTGCTGGCAGCCGGGCTAGCCGCCCACCTTGGCGGTGGTCAGCCCAGGCAGGGGGCGGGTGGGCGGCCTCTCCTTCCGGCCTGGGCTTTCTGGGGCTGGGGGAGTGCCCCCTCCGTTCGAGTGGTATCCGTGCCCCTTGTCCTGCCCTGGAACCCTGGAAGGAAGCCGTCCCGGTCTTCGGAAGGGGAAACGCTATCACCACTATTGCTACAAAATTCCTGAAGCTCGGCCCGCTCTCAGCAGTAGACAAATAACGAGGACTACTTTTTACCAAAAGGGAAGCGATCTGGGCCAGATGCCCTGCCAGGAAAGTGACATGGACCCGCGTGCTTGAGGCCTGGCAGCTGGACCAAGACAGACGGGCTTTGTAGCCTCAGGGGGGCGCTCCCACCGCCTCCAAAAAGTTGCCCTTACCTTCCGGGAGCCTGTCCGCTGACATTCTGACGGGCATCTCCAAGGGACAGGAGGGACTCTGGCGAGAGCCTCCTCCCACCCCCCCCCCCCCGTTGTCTGTGTGCCCAGAGGCTCCCGAGCTTCTGCTTGGATGTCCCCTGCCTGTGTCCCCAGGCCCTTGGCCCACAGGATGCGCCCCCTCCTCTTCTCTTTCTTTGCACAGTCTCAGTGGCTTGCTCTTTCCCCTCCTGGGCAAGGGCTGAGGGAGGCCTCTCCTCCCCACCATGGGGTGACCGCTCCCAAAGTGGGTCCCTGGTCGGATCTGAAGGACATCTGGGGAGAGGGATGCCCAGGAACGCCTGATCTTGGCAGCCGGTTTGGCACTCTGAGGTTGACTTTCTATAGGCAATTTTGTACCTTTGTGGAGAAACGTGTCACCTCCCCACAACCCAGTTCACTCTTTTCTCCTGTTTTGTAAAAAATAAAAATAAACAAGAATAACAATAGTAAGGGGGGAAAGGAAACCAAGGGAGGATAATCTTTGAATACTAAGTGTAACTGAAAAGCTCTGTGCTCTGGAATCTCTTCACACCCAGGGGGTGGTTGGAGGGAGGGGCTGGGAAGGGACTGGAGGGGAGAGGGAGAAGGTGACAGAGGGCACAGGTGTTCCCTGTAGGTCTGAACTCGGGCCTGCTGGGGTGGGGGGGGCGGTTGGGGGAGGCTGACAGGAGAGGGAGGAACCACAGGAGGCAAGGAGAGGGTGGGAGCAAAAAATGGAGGAAAGCACAGAGAGAGAGAGAGGGAGAGGGAGAGAGAGTGGAAATTTCCATCACCAAACATTGTCACCCCTTCTCTTTCCCTGATAAGCAATTAACATGCCAGTGCATAGGAAGCACTTGCCGGCCTATTTCTAATTAAACAAACCCAAGAGGCAGAGTCATGCAGAGAATTGCAAATCATCAAGACAGCAAGAACTTTGGCTCACTGGGGCAGAAGGGGGAGTGGGGTGATAGAGGATTTGGGGAGGGGAAGGCTGTGGGAGAAAGAAATTGCTGCATGGATCTTTCCGGTCCATTTCGGTATCATTTGCCATGAGCCTGGTTTGGTTTGCAGTATTTTTTGGTGGGTTTTTTTTTGGTTTTTGGGTTTTTTTTTTTTGCTTTTTTGGTTTTTAAGACAGATTGACTTGTTAGGACCGAATGTGAAGAGGGGTCTCTGTCGGAAAGGCAATAGAGCCCAGGCGAGGGGGCTGCCGTGCCCGGTCAAGGGGGCCGTTCCAGGGCAGAGGCCACTGGCCACAGCTTTGGTTTTGGAAACGGGCTGAGACGGCCCTGGGTTTCCTGGGACTGAAGAAGCATCATCGGAACCTGAGCGCCCCTGTGCTACAGACCCAGAGGGCAGACTCATCGCGGGTCGGCTCCAAGCCGCCATGGGGATTGCAAACGTATACGCAGGTGGAAGCCAGGCCAGGAGACGGAGCATCGGGCCCCATGGAACCTAGAAGGAGGACACTCACCCCAAGCCAGAGGGCAGCGCTCCTCTCAGAGTCTCGGGACCACACTTGGAGAACCACGGAGTCCGGCCTGCGGGGGCTGGAAGGTTTCGCTCCCTCCGCTGCCGGCCCCAGTGTGTTTATGGGTAGCAGTAAAGGTTCTGGTCCCAGGAGAGTCAGAAAAGAGGCAGGAGGATGGTGCCTCTGGCCCCCTCCCCTCCACTGGTGGAGGGCTCAGCCCCCATCACGAAATGACCACCCTCTGCCCTGATTCGTGCATGTTTTTTCCCATGGGCCAGTTATGTGCTATTTAGGGGAGGGGGCTGGGAAAGCAGAGATCTGACACACGGGCTCCCCTTCCCCTTTGGGCACCCATGGCCGACACTGCCAACGCCTCACGGTGTCCCTACCTGAGGAGCTCTGGGGTCACCTCAGCTACTCCGGGCGGCCCTACCCACTGGCTGGAAATGGCCTGTGGGATCTAGCTGGTTCTCTCCATCGGTGAGGGTTGATCCAGAGCTCTGTGGGGAAGACGTGGGGCAGGTCCCATGCTGAGCGTGGAAAACGGGAGTTGGAAATCATCACCTGTCCTTTCCTCTAGAACAGCAGGCGCTCACTGCCTTCCTTGACAGGCCCACACGGCAAGGAGAGTCAAGGTGCTGTTCCCTTGAATAAGCCCCCAGAGCCCTGTGAGGCCTGGGGAGCCCTGCAGCCCGGTCCCATTGCTACCTCCGCTGCCACCCCTAGAACATTCCTGTGAGCCCTGGGCCTGGTCATAGCAACTCAAAGAGTGGCCATCTGCACAGCTGGGGGCCCAGGGCCTTGGAGCCTGCTGGTTCAAAGTACCTGTAAACGTGCCTGAGGTTGGAAGACGGGGGCGGGGGGGGGGGGGGGAGGGGGAGGCTGGGAGGTGGAAGAACCCGCTTTGCTTTCGCATGGACTCCGCAGTTACAGACGGGAACCCTCCGGGAATCATACAAGCCGTGGGTCCCCAGGAAAGGGGATTCGAGTCAGGCTCCTGGTCTCAGGCATCCAGGCTCTCGCGGCAAAGCCGCCTCCCCGTTGCCACGGGGCTTATACTGCTTGCACCCTTGAATCCCTCCTTCTTGGGGGGAGAAACAGTCACAGGGGTTTAACCTGTCTCTCCTCTGAATCCCAGTCCTAAACGTGGTGGCCATCCCAGAGAAATTAGGCGAGGTGGAAGAGGATGGAGCGAGTGACCTCCTTTCTGTCACAGAGATGCCACTAGAGGGACATCCGTAGCCAGTTGGGGACAGGGAGGAAGAGGCACCTTGCGGGTTGCTGTGTCCTAGAAGAGCTAGAAACCGAGGAGAGGAGAGTGAGCAGCCTCTCCCCTGGCACAGAGAGCCAGGTGCATGGCTCGGGTGTGTTTTGCCTGGCGGGGGGGGGACAGCGCGACCGTGCCCCGGAGGTCTATTTAGACAGCCTAACTGGCCGTCCCGGCTTCTACACTAGACCGAGCCTGTGGGCAACCGAACATGCTGGGTCTAAAACCAACAAAACAGCTATTAAGCCCGGTCTCTTCTACACATTTAAGATTGCCCTTTTTTTTTTTTTAACCCTAAATAGAAAGCAATGTTTATTTCCCCTTAAATTTTAAGGTGTTACGTAGGGCCTATCATTTCCATCTATTGAGACGATTTCTGTTGAGTGTAGTAGCTCTCCCTCCCTAGGGCATGCCACTGAGAGGTCCCCTTGCCTTCCATGTGCTCGTCCACGGAGCCAGGACACGGTTCTGTGGCTCACCGCGGCAGCCTTCCCATCTCCTTGACGGGCTCTATCAGTCAATACGTCTGGGATGGCCACTCGGCCAACTGCAGACAGCTTAAGCATGCTATCTTGCAGCCCACATTTCTGCATTCTCCCCCAGATGGACTTTGTGGGAGGCTGTGTGAAATGCAGAGATAGTGAGCTGGAGGCATTCCTCAGAGCTCTCGGTCCGGTCCCGGCATCAGAGAAGTAAACGCGGTTGGCTGAGCTAGGGTAGGTGACCAAGTAGAATGTTATTGGTCTCAGCATTGAAAGTCCTTTGTTTCAGGAACTCTCCCAGTCCTGGACAAACTGGGATGGTTGGTCACCCTAGTTGAGCAGCCTCTTTCTAATGGCGCCCTCTTCCTTCTTTCCCTCCCCACCCTCCCTCCCAATCAACAAATAGTTAATGAACGTAATGGTCTGTGCGGCTGTAGGAAATGGGGACGTAGATACAGACCTCTGAGCCCATGGACCTGGCTCTTCTAGCGAGAAGGGAGAGTTGATGAGCAGGACACATAAGTAAGAATACGTAGTCTTGTAGGATGGTAACGAGTACTATGGAGAAAAAATAAGTCAGGGAAGAGGAGGAGTGGATGTGTAGAGCCTTACACGGGGTGTTCAGGGGAAGGCCTCACTGAGAAGTTGACATCTGAGCAAAGCCTTGGGGGGAGCGAACCAGGCAGTTATCTGGGGGAAGAGAGATCCAGACAGAGAGAATAGCAAAGGTGAAGGCCAAGAGCAAGGAGGTCAGTGTGGCCACAGCAAGAGAGGAAAGGGAAGGGCAACCGTGACGGGGGTTTGTGTCGGGCCTTGTCAGCCACTGGACGGACTTGGGCTTTTCCTCCAGTTAGAGGGGGAGCCACAGCAGGGTCCTGGGAAGACGTGGCATGGTTGAACTTGAGGGGATGCCTCCTGGTTGAGAACAGCGTGGGGGCAGGGCTGGCAGAGGGCAGAAGCAGAGAGGCCAGGTGGGCGTCTGCAATAGTCACCTCCAGGTACTCATCACTTCTAGAACATTGCCAGGGATGGGCACTAAGCGCACCTCTGTATTTTCTAAATCTATCCCCTTCCCCATTTTGAAAAGCAAAGCCACATTGAGTGTTCCGCAAACTCCCTGCTGCTCTGCTTTTCCAGGTGATTCTTCAAAGGGGGCTCCACCATCATGTTTGCAAGTTCTGTCCGTGCCCTTGCCAGTAATGGCCAGTGGAGGTCATTTAAGGGAGTGAGGAATGACCTTGACTGGCCTTCAGTTCCATCTTGTGTTCGTCAGTCGCTCGGGGAGAGGCCACAGTGACTGCCGGAGCCCCTACCCTGCCCTTTCCTCTGTCAACCACTGGCAACGCCTTGGCTGTTCCAGGCCCAACGTCTACATTCCTTCTTGCTGATTTTACCCAAAGAACCCTCGTGTGTTCCTCAAAGGCTTCCCAAATGTCAAATCAATGTATCTTTAGCCTTCCCAATACAATTTTTTTTTAATATTTATTTGTTTGGGGAGACCTCAAGTGGGGAAGGGGCAGAGAGAGGGGGACAGAAGATCCAAAGCAGGGTCTGCGTGGACAGCCTGACAGCAGCGAGCCCAATACGGGGCTCAAACTCACAGACCGCAAAATCATGACCCGAGCCAAAGTGGGACACTTACGTGACTGAGCCCCACAGGTGCCCCTGACCTTCCCGGTACAATTCTGATGCATTTGCACAGTCCTTTTGCACTTGCCCATTAATTAAAAGCCTCTCCTGTATTTTTTGTAGTAACGGTGATGATTGAACACCTACCACGTGTGGCCACTCTCACAGATGTGTCACACACGCCGCTTCACTTCAACCCACAGCTGCCTTATACAGCGGATGCCACTAGCCCCATTTGATAAATTTGGACGTCAGAGCTCAGAGAGGTTAAATGACTTCCCCAAGGTCACGCAGCTAGTGGGTGGCAGAGTCAGGCTTCAAACACCGTCTGATTCCAAGGGCTCAGGTTTAACCACCCTGCTCTAGTATATTCAAATTCATATACTTCAGAAGTATGTCAGTAGTTTCTCGAGAACACGCGAACTTCTAAAATCTGCATGCCTTAGAGAGCTCCTGCACAGCCACGTTTATTTTTAGACGCTGCCCTCTTTTATTTTTCTTTCTTACGCTCAAGATAATTTGTGACTCCATTGTCAAGACTGCCGTTGTGAAACCTCTTGAACTATATTCTCTTGAGAATCACAGTTTTGATTCTGTTCTCTGAATTTTTGAAACATCCTTTGCAGAAGTCTGGGCGGGGGCAGGGGGGGGGGTTCTGATTTTGTCTTCTCATCCTTC